AAAAAAAAAAAAAAAAAAAAAAAAAAAAAAAAAAAAAAAAAAGCCAAATTTACAAAATTAATTTTACTTAAAACTATTAATAGATGAAGAAAATATACCTCCCACTATACTGAAACCTAAAAATCTATACCTTCAAATAAAATACTCAGCCATTTTATATCAAAACTGATTTTATCTTGCCACTTCAGTGTATGTGTGTGTGTGTATATCTATCTATATATTTTTTTTTTAAACTTTGTAATTACACAGCTATGAAAACATAGAAAATCATTCAGTCACAATGCACTTGCACAAGGATTCAGACCCACTGTGAAGAGTTGGCTGTGCTGGCACACACTTGCAGTCCCAGCACTGGGGCTCACTGGGACACTCTGTATTTGGTGGGCTCCAGGCCAGTGGACACTGTTTCAAAAATCAAGGTGGATGATCTCTGACCTCCGTGTGAGTGCACAGACATGTGGGTACACAGTACTACAAGTAACTTTACAGATTCATCTTTTAAATAGTTTCTGAAGAGTATAGTCCCCGAAAACAAAGGCACACACAGTGAAAAAGAAAAGTGTCCCAAAGACGAGACCCTCTATCACAGCCAGAACCTGCTTTCTTAACAAATGCCTAAGCTGTCACAGTCCCTCCCTCACTACACAGGAATAATGACATCACGATCCCTTGAGGGTGCTCTTTCACTTTCCATGAGTCTTTGAACAGCAAAATCTCAGCCACTCCATTATTAGGAGCATGCTAGTATAAACATCTCCCTCAGACCTGTTCTAGGAAACAGCCACTGTCAGAGAATCACACCTATATTATTACATTGAGTAATTTCAACATGGATGTGCCCTAGACACATACCACCCTGATTAGATTCATAGCTACTCTCTTTTATCAGACCCTTAAGACTTAACTCCAATTTATTATTGAACCTCAAAATAAATCAAGTTTTTAAAAATCAAATTAGGCCTAAAGTACACTAATGGCACATGACTGTAAACCAAGAATTTCAGAAAGCTATGGCAGGATTAGGGGTTCAAGGCCAACCTGAGCTACCAGCCTGCTGTGATTCTACTTTGAATGTTAGCCAGCTGTTACTGTATATGTCTTCTAAAATAGCTAACTGCAGTAACAGCTCCAAGGTCCCCAAATGAAAGGTATTGAAGAACTACTACTGCTGCCCCAGCTAGTCTACAATCTAGCCCACAACACAAATACCAAGCTTTAAAAGACAAGCAAAAATGTCCTAAGGATTGAAGACCAAAGTGTCTAAGATGTGAAAAAACTAAAAACAAAAACCAAAACCACAGCTTAGAAACAAAGACAAGTAAATGAACCAAAGACAGTGATGATGCAGGCTTGAGACAAGGCAGGAAGATCATTGCAAGTTCAAGGCCAGCCAAGGCCAGCTAAGGCTATACTCAAGACCTTGTCTCAAAAGACAACCAAAGAAGCTGGAGAGATAGATGGCTCAACAGGAGCACTGGCTGTTCTTCCAGAGGACCCTGATTAGATTCCACCTATATGGCAGCTTATATCTATAGGGGATCCAATGCCCTCTTCTGGTTTTATGGGCACTGGGATATACAAAGACATGCATGCAGACAAAACACCCAATATACATAAACCATTTTAAAAAATAAAATAGACAACCAAACAATGGATCAGGAAGATAGTTCAATGGGTAAAGGTGCTTGCCATGTCATGCATGCCCCTACACACAATAAATAAATGTAGAAAAAAAAAAAAAAAAAAAAAAAGCAAACGTCATTTCCATTAAGAGCAAAAAGCACATTTTAGTTTCTTAAAATGTAAAATTCACACAGTTTCATAACATCAGCTAACTTCATACAAGTTGCCCTTTAAAAAAAGCTCAAACATGTTCTTCATCTACAGAAATAAGCTGCTTTGTGAAACTGTCAAACATTTCACCAGCAGAGAACTGTTCATTATTTGTGTATCTAGTTCACGGTCACTAGGACCAAATTAAGGTTTAAAAAA